GTAGTAGTACAGTACTTATAAGAGGAACCTTATAATCTACAGAGAGTTAATGGACAGCATATATATTGTATAGTGCTTTTATTCCAAAGTGCTTTACATAGTGCCTTGCATTCACCCACATACACATCGCTGAGCCCAACGCTGGCCCTCAGGGGTGATTGGGATTCAGCGTCTTGCTCAAGGACACTAGGATCAGACCGCCAACACATAGCTGCTTACACAAATTATCCTTACAGATGTTCTCCTCCCACCTTATTTTCTACCTTGGATTAATATGTATTAACATCCATACTTCACTTACAAGCGTTATTCTCAGTACTGTGGCCATGTACCTTACAAACTGATTTTCAGTGGCATTTGCTTCACTCAGCTGTCCGTCATTAAAGCAGATAAGGAGGAACAGCTTACACCGTTACTGCATCCAAGCCATGGCAGCACAATAGCAAAGAAACCTACCATTACTCCAACTTGGGTGCATTCATGCATTATTTTAAGATGTTTACCCAGCCTGCTAGCCTTGTATTGACTCAATCTAATGACTCCACTTACTGCACATTTTTAGGCAATTCCTCAAAAAGGGAAACCCGATACAAACAGACATAGTTTATGTCCTTTAAATTCAGATGAAGCGATAGATTTTGGTGTCTACTGAATTGTAATTCCAGCAGTGCTGTCATTTTTGGTACCACTTTTAGTTCTTTTCACCCAGAAGATAGTTTAGCAAATAACAAATCCACTAGCGAATCATTAAACTGCCAAAAATAATAAATTGCACTGGTGTCACGTATGTTTTTGTTTCAGTACAGCAAAGTAGAGACAAGAAATAGTTTGACAGTGTGTGTGCGTGTGCGGGTAAGTTTGTGCCAAACTCTGACAGCAGAGGAGCACTGCATCCATAAACAATACTAAAACGCTGTAGCAAATTACCCCCCAGTTTTGCGGATACAAGCCTTAAAATGTTTACTCGCCAAGCAGTACATACTGATGTGAACGAACTTCGATTTAGCTGCATACTGTCGTAAATATGACATTAGTCCTCAAAGTTCAGGTGACATCCTCTATTTTATGGCATAGCACGACTCAACTTCGACCAGAAGCTTCTTCAGCAAGACTAAAAGAAAGCCCTGTGTGGGTGAGCGCGGCTGAATTAGTCATTAATACCTGGAGTCATAAAAACTGCTGATATTGCATAAAATAATCACACACAATTGTCCTATATCTGGCCCCAAAAGTCTAAACCTTTACTTATACTTGTCATTCTTGAAATAAAACACAATTTCCTCTCCCTAACTGCAGTCTCTATTAAAAGTGGGAAATGTTAAAAAAGCAATTTTCAAATAGATGAAATGGTGTGCAATCCCAAAAACAAAATGTCATCAGTCTAGCGGGAAAATAACTCTTATCCTGGGAGAAACTGCACATAGGTTCACTTGAAAACTGAGAAAATAAAGATATGTTTTGGCAAGGTGAATGATATGAGAGCTGCTATGAAATAGACAGAAAATAACCCGCAGCGTAGATGACGGAAACTAGTCAACCAGAAGAGTTGTGATTGAGAAGGGATGATATAGTAATAGGAAACATCAGAGGGGAAAACATTTTGACAGCAGTATAGGGTAGTGTCACAATACTGATAAAACTCAGAGGCAAATATGATGGGAAGCCACAACAGAGAATACATTTATTCAGAAGAGCGGGGGGGAAATATGAAAAATAACACCTGATGGCACAAATAAAAGGGAGGAAACATTTGAAAGACTCACACGGCAGGGAGCAAAACATTTCAAGGCCAAACATGGGGTATAATAGAAAGGGAGGTGCCCCTCTGCTTCCTGGCACCCACAACTCTGCAGTGTGTGTGTGTGTGTGTGTGTGTGTGTGTGTGTGTGTGTGTGTGTGTGTGTGTGTGTGTGTGTGTGTGTGTGTGTGTGTGTGCGCGTGCGTGCATGTGTGTGTGTGTGTGTGTGTGTGTGTACGTTCTTATATTACAATAGCGTCAGACCTCAGGACCCGACAGCTGTCCCTTTCATGTGTGCTGTTGTATGAAGGCTTGTTCAGTGTTGTGTCTGTCAGCAGGTCTTATGACTTCAGTAGCTGAGTTCAATCCAACAAAACACACCTTATCTTTATAGCCTAGGGCGCTACAGAAACAAAAATCAATCTGAAATTCGCCTAAAACTCTGAAGAAAAAAGCAACAACCACCAAAATGGTTTCTGATGCCTCATTGCATTCAGTAATAGGAACATTTTCCTTAAGCCAAAGCCATTCTGACAGGGTAGGAAATTACATAAGAACAGTGAGGCTCAACTGCCTGCATGCACAGTACAGTATGTATGCATGTGGAGGCCTATTTCTGTATATTTAGAGAACATGTGAAGATTGAGGCTACAGTCTGTTCTGCTTCACGCTTTTGTAAACACACAATCGACCAAGAACCATCCTTGAGGTTAAAAACAAAAAATGTTACACACACAAATGGTGCTGTCTATCTGCCCTTAAACACATTCATACTCGTGCATACACACACATATATGCAATAATAAACAAACACACCCATGTGATGCCACCATCCATGCCAGAATCCCCGGTGTTGGTATGTCTGCACCAACAAACCCTGCAGTGTGCACCATCTGTCTGCTCGTTGCCCACAGTGTGTACACATAAGCAAATAAATATGCACATTATAACATCAGTAAAACACATATACAGTGTTTCAGTCATAAACAATGCATGACATGACTGACAGGGAGAATTACACAAGCTCCTCAAGGCGCCTCGCATCACTCTTCTACTATACTGCAGCGTTATCAGTGACAGGCTTTAGATGGACAGGAGGAGAATAGGAAGAGACAGGCCGGCAGACAACTGCACTTACACACAAAGACTAGATTTATTTATATTCATACCTCATGCCTCGTGACATTTACTCTAGAATACAAATCAATAATCAATTAAACAAATGTGACACACACCAGGAAGTAGGCTCTGCTTACAATTACATCAACTAATCTCCATCCCAGCAGGACACAGAAGAACTCACCAGTAGCTTGGAACAGGTGACACACACACACACACACACACACACACACAC